ATAACTTTGGTTACTGATAAACCAGCCATAACCATAGCCCTCTTTATTTGATATATATACATATGTACAACATATATATATGTGTTGTAATATGTGTGTATATATATGTATATATGTATATATATATGTACTTATGTACATATGTATAGATACACATAAAGTTAAATGAATTTAGCTAAGTCATGCATCTATTTCTTTGCATCTCTCTCTTTATTTATATTTTTCCTTACTCCTTTCTACCTAGAAATATCCCAGGGCTTAGAAGTATTTTCATTAACTGGAGCTAGCAATTTATTTTTATTGCTATCGATATCTCAGTTATTTTAAAAGGAAAGAATATATTGGGTAAACAAAAATAGGGTATTTCTCACCAATGCAAGCTTATTAACCTTTGTCTGTTGAAGAGATGAAAATACAGAGATTACCATATTTGATCCAGGTCACCAAGGGAACTAACACAAACACTAGGGCCTGAATTTATACCTTTCTCATGTTTCCTTTTCTTGGCAATCAGTATTACATTTAGGGCAAGACTTTTTATATACTTAGTCTGATCTGAAATTACTATTTTTGTTTTACTGAAGGGGAAATTTAATTGTTTTATGAAAATCATCCTGAATTCATTAGAGTATTACATCAAATGACACTACACCTTGGTCAGTCTGTTCTCTCTAGCACACAGTTGGAAGTCATGGCCAGTACATTGTTTTTCCAAAGTAAGTGCTCAAACCAGCAAGACCCCCCCACCCCCCAGCTATTCTCTTTACCTAATTCACTGAAAAATACTCCCTTTGAATACATTGTATTCAAAATAGGACCAGGCAGACCTACTTCTCTCATCAGGCTACATTAAGATCTCTCACACTGTCACATATAGCAGAGATCCATCACTAACAATACCAGTAGGTATTGTTAGAGAAGTAGGGTGTTGATTCTTGTGCAACAAGTTTTACATTAGTGTAAATTTTTTTAATTACTTGCTGATAGAGCCAAACCCTGTTCTGAACCTGACTCACTCTGACTCAGTTAAGTTACCTGTTGCAATTTCCAAAAGAACTTTAATACTCACTGACTTTACCGGGAAGCTTTCAGTTCCAGTTATGTAGGGTAAAATTCTCTTGCTATTGTGCAAAAAGTCCTACTGATTTCTGTGGCCTGTGTGTGTGATTCAGGTAATGCTTGGAAACTCATATGTAAATCCTAAATTCTTTTGTCATGAAAGCAGTACTAATGGACTCTGAAGAATTACTAGTTACAAAAGGTCAGGGATGATGGCCTAATTGCTCCTCTGTGGATTGTCAATAGAGACAAATGGTGGATTTTCTAGCACATACTGGCTTTTTTTCCTGATGCTTTAAATTGGTCAAGTTTTACAGCTTTCATCTGTGAGTATTAAATAAATTAATCTTAAGCCTTTCATGAATGATGTAATGAAAATGTAATGTAATGTAACGTAAAACTTTCTTAGACCATGCTTTGCCAAACAGCATAATCATCCCTTCCACTCTAAAATATGAACTGCGATGTGCTGACCCCTCTAAAAAAATTGATTTAGTAATAAAAATAACTTTTTGTGGCCCTGAACAGAAACCACACTTTCTGAACTTGGTATGTGACCTTTGGCTAAACACTTGTTTATTCATCCCTGTAGAGATGAGTAACAGCAGTTACCTCTCTTAGAGAAAGGGGCTTAAGACTCAAACCTGCATCCCCGCAGGCAGGGAGCTCTGCAGCTGTGCAGAGCTGCTGCTGCCTGTGCAAATCTGTACAATGCCATGGGACCTGGGGCATAGCTCTGGTGGGTGGGTGGTAGTTAAGTCTGGCAACAGGCAGACTGCGATGCTGCAGCCAGGAGACACAAGCAGCAACTGATGTGAAGAGATAACCCAGTTCAAACTCACTAAACTGTTCAAGGAATTTTGGTGTGTTCTCTCTGTTTCAGCAGGTCTTTGTGCTAGATCAACCATTGTCTCTCACCCTCAAGCTAGTTTAAAATTTGAATACCATCCTTGTTGCTCACTTTGGTCACTTTGTCAAGAATGTGACCATCTATTTGTCAAGCAAAATTTGGATCCAAGTGATGAGCTGGTGGTATTGAAAACTACAGCCTAAGAGAAGGGGTCAACAAGGTTGTTAAGATAAAATGGTAAATGCAGTGTTAAGCCAGAGTCAACTCAGCTTCTGAAATGAAGTTAAGCCTTTCCAATGATTCAAATACACTTTTTAATTTTTTTTTCTTGAAAGGATAATTTATTCCAGGAGATTTTCTGTTATAAAGAATCATCTGACCTCCTTTTGCTGATCAGCTGCTGATATAGAAACTTGAAAGTGACAAACATTATGTAACTTCCTCTACCAGCCTGACAGGGTGTGGCTGTGGATTTATGAACACTTTGTCATTTTGCTGGGGTGATGGGAGAGTGCAGGGTGCTGCATCTATGGCTCTGAAACCACGATCCTGGTCCACGGTGAGCTCTGTGTTGTCAGGCTGCCCGTGCAAAATAGACTGATACCCTCTGAAAACCTGGCCTGAAAGAGGAAATAAAGAAAACCGACAAAATAGGAATCAACAAACAATTGGTCTGAATCTCCTTCTCAGATCAAATCACTTTTACGACTATGAAGTTGTAACAAAAGAAAAACTATGCACTTCTGGCAAGCTGGTAGTCTGGTCCTTGGGACAGCAATGAACTCCACATGAGGCTGCAAACAGGGAAAGGAAATGGACATCTTTCTTAATAGTTGATACCGGCTCAGAACTCATAAACTAACTCACAGAGCATCTGAAGACTTGCAAAGGAGCAGTGTTATTTTTTGATTTGGCATTGCTAGAAATCAGATAGAGGGGATTCTTTTAATTATTATTATTACTTTTGTTAATGAGTACTTTTAAACAAAAAAACCTTATTCTATAAACAGAACTTCTAATTGCATCATGCCAATTGACTACTAGTTAATCCAATCCCAAATAAAGGCAAGTTTGAGATTAAGAAATCACAAGAAAAATCAACTCAAAGGCAGTTGCAATCTGGGCTTAGAAAAAGTAGCACAGGTAAGCAATGTGGCTTCAAATCCCTTTGAGTAACCAGAGACACACTGCCTTCCCCTGTTAGCCTCATTTTATGTGTCCAGAGCAGGCTGTAAAGCAGTTGGCATTGTGGGACGTCATGTAACAAAAGAATAGAGAGTCACTGCAATGTTGTCTTGCTTAAAAAAATAAATGGATTTGTCATTTTGAAAATTACAAAAAATATTAAGAAGAAATAACGGAATTGTTGAATTGGCAATTTGCTAGCAAGTGACCATCTCGGCATGCCTTACTCACTAAATATTGTACTTATCTGATCCAAATCAGGCAGAGGGACCGGCTCAAGATGTGTGACAGAGAAGGATGACAGCAGGTGACTGCTCCAAACACCAACGGCGAGAGACATTTGCTTTCCAGCCTGCAACGTCGGGAAGCATCTGTGTAGTTAAGACTGAAGCGTTGTTACATTAACCCTTGTGAAACTATTAGCAGGGCACATAGCAAGGTCCATCTGTTTACTCAGGCCTCTAAGAGGTGGGAGAGTTGCTGTTTGATTGTTCTTTAAGCATGAGTGGCACATGATTCAATGAGGAATTAGGAAACTTTTGGTTGTTGCACCAATATTAAAGCTGTGAGGAACTGCATTTTAATCTTTCAAATAGGCAGAGAGGTTAACTGACAGGCTTTATATTTCACAAGCTAGAAGGTAAATAAATAAATCAGCTTGAATGAGTTGACCTTATAATAAAGAACTAAAAATACACTTTCAACCACCATGTAACAAAAAGAATGAACAAACTATTATTTTTTAGGTATACAAGCAAAGAGACCATTTTTTTTTAAACTACTGATTCCCAAAACTAGAACTAGAATTAAAACTCTTCCTGACTGTGTGCAGGAGTCTGCAGCAGTGTGTATCAGAAGACAGCTGTTCGTGCCATGGTGGGAAAGTTGGGCACTGCACCTTTGGGCACTGCACAGCCCAAACAAAACTGACAGCCCCTGTCCCAAAGAGCTTACATTTCAAGTACATGGCTAGGGATAACAGATGGATAAAGATGGGAGGTAATGAAACAATGGGATGCTGGACGGGCTGAAATCCCAGCTGTTTCCTTGGTCTCTAATATTGCCAAGTTAAAATTTCACAGTCTGTCAGAGCACGGTTTAGTCTGCGCTTTCCCACCGAGGAAGAGGAGCAGTGAGACCTTCGTGCATGTTACGAAAGGGCTTCAGGCTGTAATTTGCTGCTGAACCAGATAGGATTGTGATAGACACAATAGAAACTGGTTTCTCCACGTCTCCTCACTGTTTTGTTAATGGAAAAGCGGTTGTAGGCAGAGTTACGTGCTCAGTGGTACAGAACGGTGCAGGTCGGTGTGCTGGGCACACAGTTTGGAAGTCAGCCCTCTAACCTCTGAGCAGGACACAGTGACACATTTCCCTTGAGGAAAGCAAGCCTGAAAAACAGCTGATGTCTTAATGCAGCTCCCAAACAAGAGCAGCATGACACAAGTAATCTCTTACAATGAAACGACCTCCACACCCAAGGACATTTAAGAAAGGGATCAGAAATAAAACCCAAATGCCAACACTGGGACAAGCGTGGTCGAAGGCAGTCTTCAGTTGCTGCTACAATTGCCACAAGGCTGTGACTCAGAGTCACCACCAAGGCGGGGTGAAGCGCCCGGCCGCCGCTCCATCACACGGGCCGGCCGCCGCTCCCGGGACAGGATGCCGGGCGACTCCCGAACCGCCGCCCCTCCGGACCTGTTGGAGCGGGAACCCCAGGAAGTTTCTCCTCGGCACTTTCCCAAGCACAGGGCCGGCCCGGGGCGGGCGGGACACAGCACCTGGGGGCGGAGCGGCAGCGGGGCGGGCCCGGCCGTGGCCGGCGGGAGGAGCCGGGCCGGGGAGGGGGCGGCCCGGAGCGGCGCCGCCGGGATGGGAGAGTGGGAGGCGGTGAGTCCGCGGCCGGAGGAGCCCGGCTGCGGGTCGGTTGTAGGGGCTGCTGCTGCTGCTGCTGCTGCTGGAGGTACTGAGCCCGCCATGGAGCCGGTGACCAGGTGGAGCCCGAAGCAAGTGGTGGACTGGACTAAGGGTAAGAGGGCGCCTGCCGGGGGAACTTTCCGGCGGCGGGCTCGGGGGTGCCTCGGTGCCGCCGCGGCTGCTCTGCCCGGCGGGGCCAGCGGGGCCTTGGACAGTGCCAGCCCCGGCCCCGGCTGAGCCCCGGCACTGCCCGGCGTGGCGCTTGGGAGTCGGCGGCTTTCCGCGCCCTCCTGCTGGCGCTCCCTACCTGTTCGTGCGCTTGTGCCCGCTTCGCCTTGTGGTTTTGTTGTTGTTTTGTTTTTGTTTTTGACGTGGGGAAAGGGGAAGGTTTTGAAGCGAGTTTTGCAGGGACGATGGCTGACTCGGGGTACGCGTGTAGCCACTGGGGTCCTTCCTAACCCATAGCTCGGTCCCCTTCTCCTGTGGTCGTGCTGGCCAGCCCGCTTGCATAGAGAGGGGGTAACTGTGCTCCTTCAGGCAGGTAGAATCGTGGAATCACAGAGGCGTTTAGGTCTGAAAAGCCCCACGTAACTCAGCTTTCAACTTCTCAAGCAAAACCCACTCACAGTTCGAAAAAACTTCAGTTTTGTAAGTTAGGCTAAAAGTTTGTAAACTAGCTCAAGTAAACAAGAACTCTTAGTATTGTTTGACGGTGATGGGATTGAAACGCTGGGCTCCCGCTCGGAGAGTTAAATAGCGGCCCCTTCGTCCGTCTGTCCGTCCGTCCATCCGTCCGTCCATCCCTCCCACCCCTCATCCCTAGCGTGTATGCTTGTTTCTCTCCCTCCCCCGCCTACTAAAACTTCCTCCTCTGCTTCGAGGTTTGTTCCCAGTGTTGACATAGCTGCGAAAGCCTCGGCGGGACCGATGTGTGGAGCCTGCCCGCTCCTGCGCCCTGGCCCCGGGGTCTCTGGTGGGACAGAGGCAGCGGGGCCACGGGTCCTCGCTCCTGCCGCGGGGATTTCGGCAGCGTTGCGTGTTATCGGGTCTCTCTTTGAAGGCGGGTTAAACCTCCTGCTGTCTGTTCTGGTTGGACCCTGCCAGTGCTTTCCGAATGCCGGTTGGGATATTGCTGGTCGCAGTTCCCGCTCTGTTGGGAATCAACCAAAAGGGAAATAAAGCTATGAATTAGGTGAGGGACTTACGACTTCTGAACTGTACGTCTCCTTTTCTTGTAGGACTAGGTTGAGCGTGATCCTCTTATGTTACACAAAGTATTTTCACAGACACTGCTGGAGTTGAAGTGGATGAGAAGTTAGGAATGTTTTCAGAGGTGAAAGTTTCCCCGTATTAGAAGCGGCATTTACTTACAGCAGCCATTACTGCTCTGTCTCAGGACCATAATGCTGATTGGAGTGCGTGCCTGTGGTCAGCACTTGGCAGGAGTGCGACTCAAAACTGAGGCAAATTTGGAAAGCAGACTCATGTCTTCAGACAGCGAGAGATGGATACTCCCAGCCCTCCTGAGAACGTGAACATGTGCGTGAAGGAGCCGGTGCCAGTGAGGGACCTTCCAAGTAGCCTTTGTGAGGAGAGAATTCCACACAAACGTGCTGTGTAGTTATGCGTTAACATATAAATAACTTCCAAAGAAAGATCTCTCTCTATATTTTTTTTTTAGGCTTGGTATTGGTTTAAACAGGAGTGCATTGTTCCAATGTAATAAGCCTTTTGCTTTGGTATGTGCAATATTTATATAAAGCTTTTCCCTCATTGTATTTTTTTCTCTTGGGTGCTGAAAGTTGGTTAGCTTGCCAGATTAAAGAGTAAACCTGCTAATCATTTTAAAAGCCTTTATTATATTTAAGCATGCTTGCCTTCCTTTCTTGCATAATTTATTTTACTTGCAGGTTCCTTGAACAGGTAACTCCTTAGCTGGACTCTCAATTAGTGTTATGGAGAATGATTTGAGGACTGGCTGTAGTTGGGAGGTGGGTCTTCTGACTAATGGAAACACGTGTCCTTTGAAATGTAAAGGAATAAATTGAAGACTGCTGGTGACTTCTGTTTGTGTTGTTGTTTTTCAGTTTCTAGGTAAGCTTTCGACCTCTTTGTTACACAGAGTCATTTTATGTCACTCCCTGCATGGCAAGACTGTAATAAAGGAATGAGATGTGGAAAGTTTTTCTTGATGGTTCTGTTTTCATCTCTGCACATTAAAATAGACACTTTAATAGCTAGCTAACAGCCTTATTAGCGCAATGTTTCATACTTTATTTTTAAACTGAAATAGTTCTTTACAGAAGTTTACAACCACTGGATTCCATGTTTGACCAACACCAATATTCTGTATTTTTACCTTATAAGTATTACATTTAATTCTCAAGGTTAGTTTTATAAAACAAGTGGTTGGAGGGGAGCTTATGCCATTTGCTTTCTTGCACATGCCATTTCTGAAGAGTGATCTTCACTGAACTGGTCAAACTCTAGGTTTAAGTATTTGGCTGGTGATATACACTACCAGTAGTTAGTGCTGTGGTGCCATGGAGATGTATTCTAGGAGCATGACGTAAATATCTGGTGGGAGATGCCAGCTCTCAGTGGGGAGATTGGTTTTGCAGATAATTATTCTTGCTTATCATACAATGATAAAAAATATCTTGGAGAAATATAGAGAGTGGTGAAAATTAGTGGTCTCAATCCATTTTAGTGTTCATTGTGAAACTGAGAATATTTGTCCAGGATCTGTTTTTTCCCTCCCTTCCAAATCTTTTTACAATCAAGCTTCGATAAGTTATTTTTTAATAACTTTTTCAAACCAGAAAAAACATGGAAACTTCCCCCTGTTCGTGAAACAATCCTCTAAAAGTAAAATGCTAAAGTAGGCTGTATGACCACTTCTGAACAACTTATTTGCTTTTGGACGACTTACTTTTTTTTTTTTTATTTAGTCGTTTAAGACTAACATTTTTTTAACAAGGTAATTCTTATTCTGATGAGTTTTGCTCTGTGATTTTGAGCTGTTCACTCCTCAGTAAATACTCTAAATAGCATTTATCTGGAATTTAAAATAGAACCTATCAAGAGTTAGTAAGCCAAACATAAATATATATTTGTATTCAGGTTGTAAATAAAAAGTACTCTGTTCATTGTTACCAACAAGAACTGATACAAAACACAGTTGCTTGTCTTCTCTTGCTAACTCAGACTAGAATGCTGCTATTTTTTGTGAACAAGGGTGTTTTTTCTGGCACAGTGCACTGTACTGACAGTAGTGGGCTGTGTGATTGGTCTAGTTAAATTGAAGCTGCAGAGGAAGAGCTGTGCTTTTATTGCTAGCAATTTTCTATGTACATGAAGCTTTTATCAAGCTTTGACCAAGGATTTGATAACTTTTTAGCTACAGCATCAGTGTTTGAAAACTGTACTTGATTTTTTTTTTTTAATAAGCACCGCCTTGATTTCTGTCTTGAAGAAGTGGTGGTGTAGTTTTAGGTTTCTCTTACAGCACAACGAATTCAGATAGTATTTAAGGGTTATATTTAGCCTTGAAAAGGTACATATTTGGCTAGGATGCTGTGTTGAGTGACTTCTGGCTGGGTTTATGCTCTTTAAACAATATTGTCTGCACTGTTTTCCTGACTATACTGAGAAGATGTGTTTGGGATTATTTATTTATTTATTTACTTGTTTATTTATTTATTTAGAGTTGGTCCTTGTTGAGCTTATACCTTGTTTACCTTGTTGAGGCATAAGCTAACATCTGGATGGTGTTGCAGCTGACCTGTGGTCTTGCTTCTGTGCAGTCTAAGATGTCTGGGGGCTCAAAGCCCTCACCTGTATCTCACAGTGCCCACAAGCCTGAATTCCTACAGAGCTCCTCTAGAGGTATTCCAGGAGTTATTCAGGTGGTTGTGGAGCAGGTGAGTAGCCATGGAAGTTGTAGCACATCTGCAGTACACTGTGCAAAAGTGACTTAATTTTACTGGTGCAGCAACAATTTGAAGGAGACAGAGGGATCTGATGATGTGGAGAAACTTTTTCAGGTCTCAGAGTCCCCTGGTTGCTGGAAACCCCTCTTCTAGGGTCATTCCTCAAAAGATGTGAGGAAGATGAAAGCTGCATTTGGCATAGAGTCTCCTGTGTGAGAAATGTCACTGCCTTATTAGAGAACATCACTGTGCCTCCTCTTTGTTTGCCGTAGCCTGATCTGTCTCTTCCCCCTACCCCCAGGCCTCACATACTTATGTGAGTTGTAACTTCAAGCCAAATTTTACACGGTAAGAACAGTTTGACGCGCTTGTGGTTAGAAGCCTCTGTTGTTGTGAGGCTCCATTACAGTCTGGCCTTGGTCGCTGTAGCTGTAGACTCGGCTGGCTGGGGATCACGCGTCTGCTTTGGCCTCCTTATTGCACTCCAGGTTCAGTTATTCCCTTTCTTAGTAGTTCAGGAACATTACTTATTCCTGCATCTATTATGTCATGAAAGACTCCGATTTCCATTCCTGGTAAAGCTGTTGGTCAACTACATTTATAGGTATGCCTGGGAGAAGAGGGAAAAATATGCTGATTTGTTAATAGTTAGCAATTAATCGTGAGGGCCTGGTGTTCTTTTTTTAGAGCTATCTTGCTTACCCAGGGAGATTTCAGCAAGGTCAGTCATGTTAACTGTGTGAGCTGGGAGCTGCAAACCATAGGTGATTTTAGAGACAGTTATGGTGGTGTTTAGCACTGGAGTTATTTTTTTAGCCTTCCTTTTCTTTTTAGGCGCTCTCAAATTAATGCTGTGGGGTTAAAATTATTTGGGAAAATCTAACACTAAGAAACCCCTGGTTATTTTTTAATACAGGAGTATTTTCTTTCAGTGGGGAATGACAGCGAGAGCTGCCCATAACTGGTACAGCAGAAGAATATCTTTCATCTGTTTACTTGGTTACTTAAAAAATACTTTATATGAGTATTTGTTAAATAGAACAGAAAATGGGTATTAAATAACCACTCTTTGCAGATCTGAGCTGAAGTTCTGAATCTAGCTGGCCCATAATGTTCTACTAGCAGAAGGTGAATATACTACATACATCTATTTATATTTATTTGTGGGCTGAAACAAAGTAAAAACTTGCACAACAAGTTTGTACTACTGCAGTCGTAAAATTATTCATGCATTGTTGTTAAGATCAGTGAATGCATATGAAAAAATAAATCAAAGTTGACCGCTGTGTTCATGTGTTTAGATCACGTTTTCATGTTTTTTGCTGTGTTGCACTTTCTTGAGCTGCTTGTGGGTTGTGATTCCCCCCAGCCCCCTTGATCTTTTCATGTTCACAGTCAGCTCTGTTTATTTGCCGTTAAGTTGCTGTTCAAGCTACTTTAACCAAACATCAGAAAGTCTAAAAGTTGAATGCGGTCAGCATAATGTCTGGAAAAGCAACATTTAAAATGCTAAAATCACAGTGGACATTAGTGGAAAATTGGTTACAACTTTATAGAAGAATGTAGTGAAACTCTAAACACTCTGCAGTGTTCAGAGCCTGCTCAAGATTAACCAACAAAAGCTGTAAGATGGTATGCTTATGAAGAGAAATTTCTTCCAACTGCTTAGCCAAAGGTGCAGAGATTGGGTAGGTTGCTTTTTTCCTTCTTTCTTTAAAACTTCTCCTTGAGGGTCAGGAAGTAATTTGCATCTGTTGTTGGAGATTTCTGTAGGAAAAGCCTCATGTTTGATGAAATATTGTGTGCATTGCTCCACATTTTCAGAACTCTTGTTATGTGTTCATTCCTTGCACTTCCACCTGGGACCCCCGTGTTTTCAGTATGTAAATCTTGAAAGTGAATCACGCCTCTCCCAGGTTTTATGCTGTTTAGCACACTGCAAGAGCTAAGAACGGCAAAGTACAGGACTCCGGATGAAAAGTGTGTTGAAATTTGTCATGATGTTTTGTTTTCTTAAGTAAAAGACCCAAACAAAAAGCTGTTACCTAACACGTGGTACTCGATGACTTGCAGTTATGAGTGATGTATGCATACAGCCTGTTATCAAGTATTCAGAAATGTGTGGGGTTTTTTGGGTGGTGTTTGTTTGTTCATTTTGATTTCTTAAATCTAAATTTCTGGATTGCTTGGTTTAAGTAATAGAGCTACTTCCAGGGTTGTCAAAAAGATGATGACTAGTGACAGGGAATTGCAGAAGAGGTGGCAAGACTGCTCAGTTTTTGGTTTACTGTATCAACTAAGAGCAAGACTTTAACTGATATGGAAGCTTCACACAGAAGGTGTGTTAATGAATAAGTCTAAACAGTGCCTAGTGAATTAAGTGGCAAAAGTTGTTCATAGTTGTATTTTTTTTTCATAGAAGTGATGATAGTGGTCTGAATTTGTACCTTTTATTTTCCTAATGGTGTGACATAGTCAGGTCTTGCCTCATCTTCCACATACCCCAAATATGTAAGTGCTGTCAAAAGGAGGAGTTAGTGGGGCACTGATGATTGCGAGGCACAGTTAAGGAGTTAATTGAACTGGGGCCTCTATGGCAACCTCTCA